AATTGGCCTCGAGGGATGTCTTAGGAATTTATTCTCCTTTAATTTAAAACAATAGGACAAACGCACCAATTATTTTTCACACTTAAATTGAAATTCCATGTTTAAGGCAAAAAAATAAATTATTATTAATTAATAATTTTTAGTATTATTGTGAATTATTAATAATAAAAATTTTTTTATTATTTTAAAAAATAGTTAAATTATAAATAATAGAGAATAAATAATTAAATTAATAATTTTTACCATATTATTATGATAAACATATTAATTTATATATATATATATAACATACATTTTTAATAATTTTTCTATAAATAAATATGATACAGTCAATTTATTATGATAATACTGTATATAACGGTCCCATGATTCAAAAGGAAGTTTAAGCGAGGTCGCTTCCAAGCTTGCGTGGCTTTGCGGTATGTGTATTTGACTTGCGTCCTCGAGGTCTAGGGTTCGATCCCCCGTGCGTGCGATATTTTTCCGTCTTAGTTTTAAGTGTTTTGTGTATAATTCTTAATAATGTTACATAAAGTATAGGTTTAAATAATTATTAACAATAATAATAATAAATTAGGCATTAATTTAAATAAGATAGTCTGTCTAAATTAATGAAAGAAAATAAGAAAAATATTTTTTTTAAAAACTTAGTTCAATAAAAGCAATTCTAATAATTATTTACATTTTTAATGACATTCATAAAAGTTTATTTACTACAAAAATAATAATAATTATTAATATTGAAGTAAATACTCCCCATGCTTTAATAATCAAATAACGAGCTTTAATATAATAAAATGCAGTCAGTATTGGATTTCTACCTGGGTAGCGAAAAGATCGGGGGAAATCCCATGGCCCCGACCGGGTCCCGACAGGGCGGACAGATCGGGCAAAGTGCCATGGCCCCGGTCGGTTTTAGTGTTTCAACCAGACCGGGGCCAGGTCGGGTTGCCAGATCGGGGCCCGGTTTGTCCCGATCTGGCCCCGATCTGGCCCCGGTCAAAATTTCTGCACGGGATGTAATGCAGCTAAAAAGTTGGATGTATCAACCAAGAAATAGTTGCCCCATCCAATTAATTGGATCGCGCTATAGCAACTATTTAATTGGCTATGGCAGCCAACTCTTTTTCTGAGTGTAACAAAGAAATATTCGTCCTTCAACTTAATGACGGTCAGGCCATAAACATCACCGATAGCGACCCTTTTACAGGTAATTTTTCCCAGTACAATTTCAGTGCTGAAACGCAGCAAATTTTCACTGAAATAGCACTGAGCTCTCAGTACTAATTCCCTAGTACAATTTCAGTCCATTCTTCCGGAATTTATTGTCAAATAAAGTCTAAACAAAATCCTATTCTACATTTATTATGTATCAATATATAGATCAAGCCTAGATTATTATTATGTATCAATATAGATCAAGCCTACATTATTATTATGTATCAAATTTATTGTTTTTCTAATTTCCCATATTTTTAAATTCCTTTTATTTACTTATTTCTATGATTACTTTTTATGGAATTTTTATTTATTTATTTGATAATATATTTATATTGAAACAGAATCTTTTCTTATTAAAATAAAATTCATTAAAATGTTTTAAATAAGATTCTTCACCTCACGCGGCAGGGTTCAATGCTGTGAGGGTTCAAGATGTAAAATAATATTTTAAAAACCGCTGGCGCCAGTCGAGTGAAGGTCGACAGTAAATAAAATATAGAATTAAATTTATTTTAATTAATTGATTTAATAGAATAATCTCAAGGGGGGTAAAATGGGTGAACCCAATAAATCAAGCGTTTGACGACTATCGAGATTTAATGATTATAAGACAAGACTTACAAATCAGACGACGATCTAAAATCTGTCACACTGATGTACCTCCACACTTTTCAATACACAGATGTCATTATAATTTTACAAATCAAAGTGATCTAGTCGGCGGTCGATCTAGGAATATTGGTAATCGGTGACGCGAGCATGGTGTTCCTTTAAAGAACGCGCCAAATCCCATGACAATACTCAGTACATTAGCGATACAAAATTCGCACCCCGATCTTCTAATTAATAGACAAGGATAAATTTTGTAATATTCAGACCGTAATAATTTCCTATTACAATATGTTTATAAATATTAATAATAAAGCCATATTAATAAGGATTTTGTGATTTCAATAAATAAAGGGCCCTATTATGAGACATACTGTTCCGAATTACAAATAATTTATTGATAAGAATACTGAAAAATATATTCTGCTCAGGCATATTTGACCGTGATATTCTAGTTAAAAACCGAAATTTTGGTTATTCCAGAAAGTAAAGTAAGTAAAGGTTGACTTCAATCGAACATAATTTTATCGAGAATTATAATAAATTTAAAAACGCAAATTCTTAAAAAAATGCTTTAGTTTTTTTTATAACGCCGTATGTTTGAAGCAATTTTGAAATCAATATTAATTGACTTTTCAGTAATCGATAGTAAAAAATATACAACCTCCAGCACCTAATACAATGCCTATATTTTTTGCAACGTGATCCGGCCGTGAAAATGCATCCAGCCGATTTCTTGACCAAAACACTTGAGGTATAAAAGCACCTTTACAATTTTACTTTTAAAATGATACTATCTACACTGAAGAAATGAAAAAAAAATGTCAAATTTAATTGTAAAAATGGTAGATTGCTTTTGGATAAGGTAAAAGAATATGTTTGTCTATTTCTCAAAACTAACAATAACACACTATCGTAGAAAACCATTATGTTGAAATATAACAAACTTGTCTGATTGTAAATGATAAACAATTGTGAATTTTCAAATATTGTACGAAAAATATAAAAATAATTATAAAAAAAGCAATTATTACTATCTTTCAGCATTAAATGACTAATAATTGTAGGCATTGTAGACCCTGTACAAGTATGTGAAAACTTAAATAGACGAATCTGCCCTTCAACAATGTCAAACAACAAGAAAATATTAAACGTACAACAACTTTTTTGTAAGACTACAAGAACAGTGTTGATTCCTCTTACGAACAGAACAGTTAATTTTTCGTTTAAGGATTAAAACAATGATGAAGTTCTTGGGAATGACATTTGGACTTGTACTCCAGGTAAGAAGCGTAGAATAGAAAAGAATTCAATTTCTAGAAAATATGCTTGAAAACGAGAATTTTGAATTATTCTGAATACGCGAATTTACCTCGGAGTTCTATTCCACTGGAACCATCAAAATTTCAGAAAAATCAATTCTTCTCTATTGCTCTCGTCGACCGGGAGATAGAAAAGAATTCAAATTTTCTATTTTTCCTAATGCGCAAAGTTTTATGGCATTGCAAGTTTTTGAAAAAAATATGAAGTTGTATTCTTTTGAATTGACTGCTAACGATTCTAGGTAGTCAATTCAAAAGAATAGAATGTTCGACGAGTAAATCTGAAATGTTTATTAATCTCAAGTGACTGCATCGAATTTCAGAAGCGCATTAAAAGGAATAGAACTTTTGACAAACAATTTGAAAAAGCCTAATTTTTCTAATTGTACAGGCAGGGAGTCAATTCAACCTTTTCCAGTCCTACAAATACTCGATTCTACAAGGCCAACTGTACAAAATAATACTCTACATGCTGATTGATTCTTCATTAACCAATTCTACAGAACCCAACTGTACAAAGCATAAGAAATATTAAACATTAAAAACAATGATCGACTGTTCAATGACGACTCTACAAATTATAATTTAGATTAATATGACAATTAAAAATCCTGACTCTTCAATGACCGAATCTACAAATTATAATTTGGATTAAAAAGACAATTAGAAAACCCGACTCTTTAATGGGTGACTCTACAAATTAAAATTTTAATTAATTGGGACAGTACATTACGATAGGGCCCTTTACCTTTAGCTCTGACTAAATATGTTCTTTTACCAAAAAGAACAAAAAAGTAATACGGAGAAGCGTCTGATGAGTATTTATTCTTACTACTAAAAAAATTAAAAGTAACGAAAAGAAATCAAGTATTTTAGAGGTTGGTTTTAATTGAACATAATTTTATGGTGAATCATAATAAATTTAAAAACACAAATTCTTAAACAAAATTCTTTAGTTTTTCTTTTCATAAAGAAATAGGTTTGAAGTAATTTTGAAATCAATATTAATTGATTTTTCAGTAATCAATAGTAAAAAATAAGCAACCTTCAGCACCTGATACAATGCCTATATTTTTTTCAAACTTTTTTTCTAGAAGTAATAACTGTCACGTCCCCGCGACGTATATTATATTATATTATAATTTTATTAGATAAGAAAATTAATTTGTTTAAAGAAAAACACAGTTCTTGAAAATAAGAAAAAGAAAGTCTCACGGTTGTTATCATATCTAACATGCATAGGCCTACCACTATATATCTATATAGTGCGAGCTGCCACCCACCAATCGTCTTCTGTAATATTTATTTATTAAACAATTAGACTAATTGGTATTCCATCGTCAGTCATAAATCAATTATCAATAAATTAATTGATTGATATTTTTAGTTATTAATTATTATTTAAAACAACCTGACTAGGGTAGATTTATAATTATTTTCCTCTTCAATTTATTTATTTAAATTCGAGGTTTTCAAGCCGTTATCAGTTTTGCCCCTATTTTGAGAGGTCTTAGGAAGGCCTAAAATTTTGATTTGTGAATATTGTTTAATTTTTCTTCTTCAAATGCAATTTTTTATCTGAAAAATACATATATCGTATAATTAAATAATTAATTCTAAATTTAATTAAAATCATGTTTTATAAAGTGTATTTAATATAATTCTTTATACTCTTTAAATATAGTTTCAAAAGAAATTTCTTTCTTCTTAAATTAAAATTATTGTTCAAAAAATATTTTAGTTTCTTTCTGACGCATGAAGTTTATCTACTAATTACTTGAAAAGCTGTCACCTCAAAACTACTTTAATTACATCTTTCCTTTTCGCAGAAGCAGTTATCAGCACAAGTTCGTTTTCTTTTCTAAGCAAAACATTACACTTTAAATTTTTTTAGAAATTTCATTTCGATTTCTATACATATTTTTAGTTATTTTTAAACTAAGGTAATATTTAAACAAGGAAATATTATTTCAAATACCACTTTAAATCTAAATAATCTTTCTTCTACACTAACTTGTAATTGTTTTGTAAAGCAAATTATTCTTAATTTAGTACAATAAAAAAATACACTTAATAATAAATATTTTATTACAGCACCTTACTGACAATGAAAATTTTATCACTGATAGTTATAATAGGGTTAGTTCAATTGAGTAGTGGAAATCATGAATTCCTCATTAACGTTGGTGTTTTAAAAAAATTACTTAGTTTAGAAGCAGATTTGATTGACAGACTTCTTAATGAAATTGCACACCAACAACATTTGAAATCAATCAGGTAAAAACTTTTAAATAAGTGTACAAAATGTTCTTAATTCTAAAACTCAATTTTATTTTTCTCTTTATGTTGATTCCGTATGGAAATATTTGTCAAAAATATTACGGTATAGAAACTCCACATTTTCATATATATTTTCCTTACAATTCCTCTCTAATTTATGGAATTCAATTACGGTTATAAATTACGGAATGTACCAGGGAAAACATATTCATGCTTTTTTCATTGTGTATTCCTCGAAAAAATTCTAATTTGATTTTAAAATTCATTAACGGTATAACTATTATTTTTTCTAGCAACGATGAAGTATACGCACAGGAACTAGAAGGTTTTTCATATGAAGCAAATGAACATTCAATATCTACTAAAATGACAATTAGTATGTTAACTGATTTAGAAAATTTGTGGCCTGAAATTGATAACTATGCGAAACAGACTACGATCAAAATTGGTAAAGATGAAGTTACGTCTTTAGAGACAACATGTGAGTCTGATGACTACGAATACGATATTTTTGAGAACTCGGCACTACAGTTATGCAATTGAACGATTTCACTATCTGCAAATATTGAAAAGCATTTAAGATGTCGATTCGTTGATCATGGAAATCCAATTCTGAAAATATCACCATTTTAAGAGGAAGATGTGTATTTATATCCTTTCATTGTAAATTCTAATCTGAAAAACACACACACAGCTTGCATCAGTTCTTCTAGCAGGGCTAGAAAATTGTTAAATTTTAAATAACAGAATATGTTTAAATTTAATAAAACGACGCTTTCTATATAGTTAGAGTGTCTTTGTTGAACTAAAAGAGACTTAGATCAGTAGCATCTACAGAGATTGTAAAAAAAATTCTACCTATAAAAAGCTAAATTTTCAGGGATGTAAAGTGGTATGAACCCTGAAATTATTTAACTAATGTTAAAGATAATAAAGATAATAAAATATAATTTCTATTTGTGAAATACTTACCTAAAACAAAATTTTGAACATTCTCATGTATATAGAGTTATGTAGTATGCAAGAAAAAAAATATTTTTCTTAGTGACATAATTTCTAACTTGTTTTCATTTAAGATTATTCACATTAATAAGGATATTTTACTTTAAGAGCTTCCTTATTATATAATCATTATAAAATATACATTACAATTAAATGTAAGTAGTTTTTTATCAGTTGATATTAATTCATTGTTGAATCATAGTTGATGCATTAATGACTCATTGTTGATTCGTTAATGATTCATCGGGGATTAATTAATGATTTATTATTGATTCATTTATGGTTTACGGTTAATTCTTTAAAGATTTATTCATTCTTAATCAGCGACCTCGAAAAACTTACTGCTGTCTTTTTTTATAAATAAAAAAGATCACTTTTTAGAGAAGTTGATAGTTAAATTGACAGCTGTCAACTGTTAAATTGTCAATTTAACATCATACTCGTAATCAGCGGCCTCGAAAACCCTTACAAACATGTGTCACTTATTTATACTTATTGTTGCAATTTAGAAAACTTAGATTATTTTTTCTATGTTTGGGGATTTTGTTATTAATTTATATGAACTTTTGTAAGGTTTCTTCATATTTTTAGCCGTCGCTCGAAACTCTTATTGCTGCGTGTAATTATGACTCATTCCAGTAAGAAGTAAGGAATTCAGTAGAATTGAACACTTTTAACTTTTTACAGAAAATGTTAAATTATCAATTTTGTTAAATTCCGTTTCTGTCCAATTCCTATGTATTCCTTTTTGAGGCAAAGATTTCTTCAAAGTGAATTTCAATCAATTCCGTTTTAATATTTCTTTCATTTTTGAATTTTTGTGAATTCCGAAATACTTTGTGATACTCGGTAAATTCAATTTCTGTCTATTATGTTTTAATATTTTGTAATTTTTTAATTCCTTTGAAGTTTCTGTAGTCATAGTACAGTTTAAACAGCTGAGCGGACAAGCTGTTTGTCTTCGGCAATGAAACTTGAGGGCTCAAATCTTCGGATCGACAAATTTTTTTTCTGCTTAAAATAATAAAACAATATTCAAAAGAATAAACTTAGCTTCTTTTCGGCTTCTTCAAATGAAAATAAAAAGAATTGGTCAGAAACGGAATTCAAAAGAATTAAAAATTTCGAATTATTATTAATTCCTTACTTTTTACTGGGATATTACTTGTTTCTGTTCTATATTTAATGTCAGTTTGAAATTGGAAGTGTAGTGCCTGTGCCATTTTGTATTCTCAACAATGAAGTCTTGTTCATAAATTGTTTTATTGAAAGAGGAAAATAAAGAATCTAGCGTCGAATTAATAAAGAAAACTTATTAATTAATATTTCAAAATATTCAAGATCCCGCTTAAATTGTTTGTATTTCTTACAGTTGCCCTGGTGATAACACAATTTCTATATATATACAGAATAGCGAACTTGAAAATTCTCCTACCTTTACAATTTTACCTTTAAAATGATACTATCTGCACTGAAGAAATGAAAGAAAAATCTCAAATTTAATTGTAAAAAAGGTAGATTGCTTTTGGATAAGGTGAAAGAATATGTTTGTCTATTTCTCAAAACTAACAATAACACACTATCGTAGAAAGCCATTATGTTGAAATATAACAAACTTATCTGATTGTAAATGATAAACAATTGTAAACTTTCAAATATTGTATGAAAAAATATAAAAATAATTATAAAAAAAGCAATTATTACTATCTTTCAGCATCAAATGACTAATAATTGTGAGTATTGAAGGCTTTCTACAAGTATGTTTAGACTTAAATAGACGAATCTGCCCTTCAACAATGTCAAACAACAAGAAAATATCAAACCTGCAACATCTTTCTTGCAAGACTACAAGAAGAGTTGATTCCTCTTACAAACGGAACAGTTAATTTTTCGTTTAAGGATTAAAACAATGATGAAGTTCTTGGGAATGACATTTGGACTTGTACTCTTTAGTGTAATTTTTCTGGGCGTGGCAGGAAGGAGCAATTACACTTTTGGATTAATAAGACACCTTAAGGAAAAATCAAAACTCCACCAGGTAATGTTTATAATTGATGATCAATTCCTTGCAAATGCAGTATCCGATGCCAACGCACAACTTATTCGTGATGTTTCTAATAACTTTCCATCATTGAGCATACAATTACATGATGCACCAACTGATTTGAAAAAATACTTTTCATTACATCTACAAATTCCCAGAAGAACGACACTGTTTATTTTCATTCTCAATGAATCAAGGAAGGATATTGGTCTTCATTTGAAAGCTGTATTTGATAAACTATGGAAACTCTCCTATGGACATTCGTTCCCCAAGTGCTTAATCTACTACTGTAATCAAAGAAAGCCTTATTCTTACGAGAGCATGCTAAAATCATTGTGGCACGCTGATATGCTAGACATTTCGGTACTGGAAAATTTGGTTCAAAATCAAACATGGCAAACAGCGAATGTGACCACTATTCACAGAATCAATCTTTTTGCAAAGAAATATACAAAACAGAAAGTTAAGCCACGAACAAAATGGTTTCCAAACAAACTATTAAACCTCCACGGACAACATATAAAATTAATGTTACCTACCTACAATGGCAAAGTTCGCGAAAAAAGACAAATTGAAATACAAAAATTCATTTTGTACATTGCGCAATCAATCCGTTGTAGAATTACAATTCTAACCACTGGTAGAATATTGGATGAATTTTATCTAGAAAAACTAAAAGCAGAAATGACGTTAGATACTCTGATATTAGAAGAAGTGAATAATACTATTAATAGTATACCAATGCGTATTTTGATGTATAGTACAGCAAAGGCAATAATTCCAATTGTAAGAAGTAAAACTCGAGGTGTTGAAGTCTCTGAGGAATTGATTTACATGATAGTTGCTACAACTATTGCTATTGCTGCCATTAAAATTGCAGCTTTGTTGATGCGATTTGAAAGAAGCACTTGGAACACGTTCAGCATCAGTCAAATCATAATGGGAATGTCCGTAGTCAACGAACCAAGAAAATTAGCAGAGAGAATAATTTTTGGTGCCTTCATGTTGAGCTGCATGGTCTATTCTGGTTACGTGTTCTTAGTGATTTTGGACATCAATTTCCGAGAAGCACCTCAAATTTCAACTCTCGAAGAACTGGTAAACTCGTCATTGACGCCAATGACAACTGCTTTCATAAATGAGACAATGTTAAACAGTCCTCTCGTTCATGTTCGAAAACTAGCATTCAAATCGGTTGTCATACCTGGTAATGGATTGAACTACGATTGTTTACAATACTTGCTTAAGAATGGAAACGTTACTTGTATATTGACTGACGCTGAAACTGGTGAAAAAATACTTAACATTCAAACTCAAAAATTGAGAATCAAAATAATACAGGAGTCTATTGCGTATTTTCCTAAAACTTGGATTGCAAGGACTCATTCACCTTTTAAAGATCGTTTTAACGAAATAATCTTGAAAGCCTTCGATAACGGTTTATTGCAAAAACTACTTTTCTATGACTACAACCTAGAAAAAAAGGAAGTTGGATCAACTCTAGATATAATTGGAAAAGAAAAATTGCTATTGGTTCTCTTCTACGTGCTAACCATTGGATACACTTTGGCCATACTCCTTCTTTTAGCAGAAATGTTAATCAATTTTATTATCAGCAAAGCACAGTGTTTCTTTAGATTCTCAAATTAAGATCTGAAACTTTATGTTAAAAAAGTTGCACTGCAACAATACAAGACGGTAAATTGTTTAAAATTTTTTCAAACAAAAGAAAATGTTATCTGTAATTGGTCAAATGAAAAAGGTTAATATTATTTTTCGAAATTAATCTTCCTTAACGGTGTTCGACGGTCTCTGAAATTTCTATATTATATTTGACAAACCGCTATCACCCAACAAATACGGCACTGCCTGGTTTAAATGACGTGAAATTGGTAAACAATCATTTTCGAACGAGTTTTTCTCTGCACACAAGCACTTTTTGCAAAATCTGAATCCGAACCAATGACACAAATCTTCTTAATTACCTAAATCCAAAATATTTTTTTAATCCTTGAAGAAGCGCGGTTGCAAAATAGGAAAGGCCAGAGTAATGTAATGCGAATCATTTTGACAGCTAAGCCTTTACGCTCCCTGCATGCTTCTGCCCTCTAATGGCAAATGGTTGAAACAGACGTCTTGCCGCCTGTCATTACATTACTTTTGTTGCTTTTGCATTTACCATTTTGCAACCGCGTTTCTTCATGGATCCACATAGCACAACATAATATAGTAAGGCTATGGTAAGCTTATTGGTATGGCTTGTAAGGTTACAAAGTAAACCTGAAGTAAAATTATGGTGAACTGAAAAGTTCCGCCATGACAGTAACGTTACACGTAAAGGTTGTAGTAACGTTACACGTAGAGGTTGTAGTAACGTTACAAATAATGATTGAGGTAAGGTTACAAGTAATGGTTGAGGTAAGGTTACTAGTAAAGGTTGAGGTAAGGTTACAGGTAAAGGTTGAGGTAAAGTTACAAGTAAAGGTTGAGGTAAGGTTACAAGTAAAGGTTGAGGTAAAGTTACAAGTAAAGGTTGAGGTAAGCTTTAATAGTAAGGCTGTGGTAAGGTTACTGTCAAGCTGTAAGGTTGATGTAAGGTTGTGGTAAGGTTGATACATAATATCAATATTAATAAAGTAATTTACAATATAATTAAAAAATAAATATTTAATAAAAAAATTACGTTTGATTCCCTCACATTATTTTGAAACTTAAAATTCCACAGAAAATCTTTAAAACAAATTTTGGAGGACTGGGATTCGAACCCGGGATCGACTCGCTTGAACCTAACATCCTAACTAACTGAGCTAAGTGGGGAACTGACAAAGAAAAAATCAA